AAACCGCAGGAGCTCAAAACTTCAATAAAAACACAGCACGCCGGTGGAGGTGTTTTCATCCGAAAACGCTGCAACCGCGTCGCGCTCTAAGCCAATAGAGCGCGTTTTCCAACCACCCCTCTCCCGTGGTAACTCAGCTAAGTCAGTGGGTTACCAAAAAACTACCAAAAAGGCTTGATTCCGACCTAGTATACATAAACCGCTGAAAATGTCTGCGGTGTGTGTTTTTCCCATGAAATTCGCAGGACGAGAGTCCCATTAACGATGGGTAGTCGGTTTCAACAAGTGGTGTGAGGAGCAGGATGGGAATACTGTGGACGAACAGGAAGTGATAACAACAGATAGATACTGATAACAATGAATTCCCTCAGCGGAACGCGCTTTACTATTTGCGACCTCGATAAGATAGGTATAGTTCGGGTGTCTGGCTTTCAGAAATGGAACAGCTGCAAATGACTTTATCGTTGATGGTATAGGTTTTTCATTAACAGTGCTAGTGAATACCATTTGGAAAGCATTTGGAGGGGGGGGGGCTGAAGTATTAGTTCCCTGTAGAGGTGAGGGAATTATGAAGGGAAGGCCGGTTAGCAAAAGGGGACGGATCCAACAGTGAGACGCTTTATCGACTTTCACGAGTTGATTAGAACCCTTAGAAGTTCTTGAGATGTTTCTGGAGCCGATGCAGAGAAAATCATGGGTGATAATGAGGTTTTGTAGTGTCACTAGGATCCGATATCCCATGGCGCACTTCAATCAGTAGCTGACACTGAGTTCAGAGGGCGAGAGTGTGGGCTGCTTGAACGGGCCGAGTAATCCTCTGTAAATGTGCTAATGCTCACTGCATGGCAGATGAACAAGCAACTTCGTCTCGCGTCCTCTTGCTTTTCTCTCGCAGTCAAAGCTGCAGCCGACATGGCTGTTACGCTTCCACCGGTGAACTATGAACGCCATTGAAATAATCGCTGTTGACTGGATCGTTATAAATCAGCTTTGCTTATCTTTCCACTCCATAGGAAGAGCCACGGCACCTCAGACTTGATGATCGCATGTTTTCCACTAGGCTGGTTCAACTGTCTCTGTAAAAGTGCACATAATTCGATGATACACCATCTTTACTCCAAGTTCACCGTTTTTCGAATCAGATCCTTCCTACTTTTTACACCGGACTATCAGTTAACTACACCCTGCTGGATGCCACCGCAACCCACGCTGATAGCCACGCCCACTTCCAAAAAGTGCCCCAAAATGAGCAGGCTAACTTCAATTAGCAATACAGAGTCTCTTCATTCGAAACAAATGTTACCCGGTTTTTTTTGCAGGCTGGTCGGCGTAGCTATAGTCCTCATCATTGCAGACCGGTGGGGCGTGTCAGCCCAGAAGGAGTGCGCACACTGTTGAGGCCCTTCTCAGCCTTTTTGTTGCAACGCGTATGCGACAAAAAGTGGTAGAAAACGAGTAATGCGAAGGATATTATGCAGCAATGCACTTGTGTCGCTTCAACAAACTGGTGCAGAACGACTTTGCCAAACTGCACAAGCCGCACTGCCACGCCCCACCGGTCCGCAATGATGAGGACTGTACCTGCTTGCAACCCAGAAATGCGAAAAAAAATTAAAATGTATCAAATTTCGCAAGAAGTTTAGGGCGGCGGGGGATGATTAATCCTGCGGTGTTACCATTGCTGGTTGGTGATTCTTAAAATCGATCGCTAGCAGATCACAATCGGTTTAGAACAAGGCGGCCCAGACGGTGGTGTCCGACGTGAGGCTGCGTTTATACTTTGCGGCAGCGTAGCGGTAGCGCTTCCAGCGGTACGCCAGCGGCGTGCCGAAGAGAGGAATGCATATCGATCTAGCTTCACACAGCGTTCTCGAGCGTTTCTCCAGCCGCACCAGCGTTTTGCTAGCGCTGCTGCAGCCGGCAGGGACTAGAGACTATGTGGCCGTCTTAAACGCAGAAGCGATGTGCATTGTAGAGACTATGTGGCCGTCGGAAACGCAGGAGCGATGTGCATTGTAGAGACTAAGGGCGAGTGGGAGACGCGCAATCGATGTGTTTTGTACCCTCCAGCTCTCCCATAGTCTCTACTGCCCTGCCGCTGCAAACGCTAGCAAAACGCTGGTAAAACGCTGGAGAAACGCTGGCGTACGCTAGCGTGCCGCTGGTGAAGCTAGATCGATATGCATCCTCTCTTCGGCACTGCCGCTGGCGTACGCTGGAAGCGCTACGCTACGCTGCCGCAAAGTACAAACGCAGCCTGATCTTCTTCATTAACTGTTCGGTGTGATTTGAATTTACTTTGAAAGGGGGTAAATTGGAAATTTCAATGGTATATGCACATCTGATATTTCGCTTCAATTCCTCTAGATATTGGACGAATTGTGAAGCTGCGATTCAGGATACATCCCCTCAGCAGGATTGACAAGAGTTTATAACCAAAGGCTAATTTGTCATGACAAACACATTTACTATGACATAACGATTATTATTATCATTATTACAAACACATCGTACGAGATAGCCGCCCAGTTGCTCATCCGCAGAAAACTGAACATATCCAACTTGACCATCTGAAAGCATCAACGCGGACTTACTCAAAGTGATATGGAAAGATTGAGCAACAGCATTTAAGGGTCATTACGTATAGTTATGAAGCCGCTGAACGAGGTCAACGGATGGTTCTCACACATCTTGTAGCACACTGAAAAATGGATGGATGTTACATGTTACATCGGTGTGGACGACATTCCCGATGGAATCACTCCTTGACCCCACATGCGTCCAATGAATCCTGCTGTTCGGCACCCATTACCGCCTGCTTAAAAAATTGCAGCTAGAAGTAGTTGAATGTGAATAATTTGAATGTGAGTTGGTTGATTAGTATCGGCTGCCGCTTCCCCTACTTAATAGCGCCGACCTTATCATAATAAGCATCACAGAAACTTGCATGTGAATATGACACCATGGGATCAGAGGGGTGGCAAGCACGCACTGGCGGTTGATAAAACCCCTTGTCGGTACCGAGGAGCCGCCCAACCCGTTCGAGGAGATACGAACGTTGACTTGGCTGCCCCCCCCCACCCCCAGTCCCCCAAGTCGTTGTATAAGCAAAATTCTATGCGTAGCGTGATGTATCCCAAACAGCTACCGATAGATCAGTACCAGAAGTTTTATCCTTGTATCTCACGACAATGCAGTCGCTTGCGATCGCATAGAATTGACAATGTTCTATCAATATGTGAACAAGAGGACAGATCGACCTCGGCCATGTGAACTGAATGGTTTACCCAGCCGATCACGCGGAGCAATTTGACAAGGACGCTTTCAAAAATCCAAATCGTAGACCACACGGTAAAGGATGGCATAGAAGCAGCATGGACGGACTGGAACGAGTCCAGCAATATCCTCTGTGATCGGCCATACTCCAGAATGCCTCGAGCAAGGCGCACCGCAAAGTGATAAAGCCTGCAATAATGCCTTGAGCAAGGCGCACCGCGAAGTGATAAATCCTGCAATATTCTACGGCAGCAAAACCTGGCCCTTTCTTCTTTTTTACTCAATACAAATAAAAATACGTCATTAGTAAGACTGGGATTCCTTGGGACAGAAACACACGAAGGTTTCTTTTTTGCTGTTGTTATTTTGTATTCGGAGGCAGAATAATAAAGACCTTAATTAGATCGGAAGCAGTAAAGTGATGATCACTGCAAAAAAAAATAGCGTGTGATGGAGAGGGATAATGTGGTGTCAAGGACTCCATTTCACGCCTCTTCGCACGCTCTGTCATTTGCAGGGATCATGACTGTAAATGAATAAATGCCACATGTGATTCTGCGAGGGTGTGAGAACTTGTTGTATGTCATAATTACCATGCAAATCAATGGTAAGCAATACACACTCCTCCTTGTCTTTCAACTGAGAACGCATCAGCGTTTGTCCGGAATTTCAGTGTTGGTTAGCACAGCCTCATAGGCAGGGTATCGAACTGAACAATGAGGCTGAGACTCTATTGTTTCTACTAAAAGTAAGAAGCACGATGCTTTCCTGCTTCTAGTCCGCCTGTCAATTCAGCAACGACTAGCTCGAACGAAGCATACGAAAGAAGCTGTCATCCTAACTGTTAGATCTGGGACTGTTGCCATCTCTTCATCTGTTTTTGTTGTTCACTTATGTGAACAGCTTCATGTTGACAGTACGAGCCGTAACTGCCTCGTGCTCACCCCCAATACGGCGATAAGCTATTGGTAACTGTTTGCAGAACTCTGTTGGTTCTGACCTCGAAATTCTGCTGATTTTGTAAAGTCTGCTTCTTTCAGTATAAAGAGAGCTCAACATCTTGCATAGAGAATGGTAGAAAACATGAAGATTTTACATCTCGTACTGATTTCCATCCTGGTATTACCAGTTGCTCACTGTCAACAGTACGGACTCATGTGTGGCTTTTGCATTGTGAGTTTACTTTTCCATATTGGTCTTATACATTTTCATGGGCGTATTCTGCTAGGGCTCAAATATGGACTATCGCCTAAAAGTAAACGAAGAGGTCCTAACAGGTCCACCAGACCAAAGAAAACGCCGAAATTCCCTGAAGACAGGCCCAAGTTCGTGCTGCTGACCTGAGGGACCGAATGCAAACTGAAAAACAGGGTGTACTGTGCATCTTCTTGCTCATTTCATATCATACCATATTTTCTTTGTTCTGTATAGGTTCACATTGACTTTGGGAATGGTGTTCTTTCCCATCCCAATCGTCAACCCACGGGGCCGCCTTGTGACTACGAACGGTGGATGGGTACATCTGCCAAGAAAAACTGGCTTTCGAGAGAGATTTCTGTAGCTCTGAGACTCTTCGGTAGATACCATGAGTGCAGAATAGTTAAGCCAACTCCTAAAGAGAGAGCTGACCCGTTCCTTTCGTGTCCAGTGCGAGTTTCATGATTTAATATGAAGGAAAAAAACCCATAACCCAAGCTTCTAGACAGAAGTGCATTCGTCAAAAGATGGTAGCGGCGACTCGTTGTGAATTCCGTCGGAACCCTGCTCACATTCCCGTCGAGGTCACATATCACTTGTGGAAAGGATAACCATTCTCAAGCCCTGATCTTCGAGCTTTGCGTAATCCCCGACAAGTGTTGCTGGAACATCTCAGTCCAGCAGCGATCTTCCTTCAACTCGTTAAGGGGCCTACGCAGCCTTCGCGACTTTCCCCTTACTTGTCTTTTTGACTGAAACGAAATGTCCGATAAACCAGAATAAAGAAAAAAGTAGTGAAAAACTATAGCCTTCCGAGATAGAAATAGTTGTCTTCAAATATTCAGTCCGAGAATCTTTGCTGGAAATTCAGCTATTAAGCAGTTCTACTGGTCCAACAGATCCAAATTTCAGACCATCATTACGAATGCTCAGAACTCCTTTGGCCCGTCCATAGTGAACACGACAGACGTACAGTTCTTGCGGTACTTCCACAAAGAATGCCGACTGGATGCGTTCAAATCAGCCATGATGGCAGGTGTTTGCGAGTACATGGTCTCGAACTATCCTTCGGTTCTGTTTCGAGATTTGCGCTCCGGCTCTCCACCAGTGGATACGTGCGCTGATTGTGGAGTTTGCATCGCTGTTACACCGCCTTCAGCACTCCACTAACCAATGTTTGTTGTGTGTGATAAAGTTTTATTAATAAATTCAAAATCTTGTGCAGAAAAGTTTCTTATATATGGGAACCGTGTAGCTACAGACATCAGTCTTAAACTGGTGGTTCGGGTAGCTTCATCCCTAGCAACACATGAAACCGTCACCATCAGAAGTCCTGTGACGTGTGAGTGATTGTAATAGGCTTGTCGTCACCAAAGGCGCTTATCAGCGGCTTTTCAGCAGTTAATGGCATGGCGTTAATGCTGTCGCTCCCAACACCTAGTACGCCCACATCAAACGTCCAGCTATTTTCCATACCACATGGCTCAATCGTCAGATTTGGACTTACAAGTGCCTAAACAGTCAATTCCACTCTCTTTTATACCTCTGAAACTGGCAGGAGATTCCTTCTTGTGGGGGAGGGGCTGCTTTCTTCTCTGTTTAAACTGCGCGACGACATCCGTTTCACCTTCAGATTTCTTCAGTGTCCTCGTCAGTGCTGTGATATCGAGAGTCTTCCGTAATGGACCATATCTGTTGGAACAAAAACATGCATATCATTTCTTACTCATGTTCCGCTTTGTCAGTCATTAAACTTCTTAGACTTTTGCTCCTCTCAGTTGAAGTATTTATCTTGTACCCGACATGTACCTTCATTTCCAGGAATGCAAATATCTCTCACATTTGTCAGAACGAGGCGATCAACAACAGCCTGTGTCTAAACTATAAGGTCGAACGAAATGTTCTGCGACACGTTGCCTAAAAAATAGGAATGAGCTTTCTGTTGCTGAACGAGAGCCAAGTGCACAGGGTAATCATCATCGAACCCGGGACAAATTCCTCTTCCGAACAGTTTCTTGATTCCCTCTTCTAGCTGCACGAGTTGCGTTGGGAAGAAATACAACCTCGCTTCCTGTAGATGTCAATGATTGAAATCCTTTTTCTCGGGGATAGGGGCTGGATATATTATTCCATGATTTTTAAGATCCTCACCGCATGCAGTCTTCGCATTGTCTAGGATCAGAATGAAGATGGGTGCTCCTGAATGAATTCAAGCGTTCCACTTTCCTTCTATTGAAGATTACTGTAGTAAACTATGGCTAACACAACTGTGCTTGTGACCAGCGAATTGCTTTGGAGTCCAAACTAATAATACAGTTAAAGGCTTAGTCCGTGATAAACTAAGGCTAGATCCTCCTAAATCTACAAGGTGGACCGGTACGCGATTACAGAGGTTGCGCTACATTCAAAACGTGAGAATTGCCAAGCGGAGCCCAGGAAGCATAGGTTTTGGATCCAAGGAGGCTCATGCCGGCTCACATTGCCCGTTTAGTCGTTATACTCCGTTGTGCTCTCTGTGCTTTAAATGTTATGTACTTCTCTTCTGCGAAGGGATACCGGCACTCATCACCAACCACACTGTCGGCCCATAAGGCTGTGCATGAAGAGGGAAACACCCACCAACGACCACACTATTCGCCCCGTCAAACTGCGGCATTGCATATGGTGTCTACGGCTGAAGTTTCCCTGGAAGTAGATTGCAGAGAAACTTGACGGCTGTCATACGGGTGCAGCCTAGAGTTGTTGCCAAGTTGCTGGCGGTTGCGTTCGGCTGCCCTTCCAGTTGCTGGGCGAACGGTCATCATTCCTTTCCGGTTGCTAACCAATACGTTGCCTACCTCCGAAGCAGATTATGTTCAGCTTTTAAGCACTAATACCAACATTGTGGCATGACAAGTCTCCTTGAAAAGCCTGCAGATCTTGACTCCCTCAACTACGATGGAGTATGTAACCTTCACGGGACTCACAATACATAAATAACTCGAGAAGTACCTTTGGGGCAGGATTGAGCTTTGAAACTTCCACAAAGCCATAAGATTCCATTGCTGGACATTTCTGGGAGCACTCTTCAGTAATCAGAGGTAGAAACATTTGGAATAATTGATTTCTTTCATCCATTACTTTAGTCCTGATCTTTTTCCAGAACAGTTTGTTTCAACAGTCACAGAACTTTCGTTAAACAAGGTTGTTATAGCCTTTTTTTCCAGAAAAATTTGTTTCAACAGTCACAAAACTTTCGGTAAACCAGGTTGCTATAGCCTCAACCCCACATACACTTCATCGCAGTCAGCTGAGTCGCTTTCAGAGGGATGGATTGACCCTGCGACGTTGCCAGCACTGACTGTTTTCACCTTGGAATCATCACTAGCCGATCACCGCTCGTAGACCAAGGCAACCGTACGCAGGCTCACTCCGCCCTCTTCACATCGCCCCCGACTGTTTGTGATGTTACAGACAATATGTTACGTTACTTCACCCAAGTCTGTATTTATGTAGCGACATAAGTTCCATGTCTAGGAACCACAGAAAGCAATCAAGCACACACACGAACAAACGTCTGGATCTGCAACGTAGTAGCATCGCAAAAAATTGCAAGGCTTTCTCTTATAGATTCTTTGCCTATTGGGGTGCGATGGATTATCTCAAGAGTATCCCGCGATGATTAAAGCAATGTACTGCAACGCTCATAGGGTATGGAGCACGGCCTATGATCCTTCCTACTAATATAATCGGCTAGTCCGTGTGTGTGTGTCTGTGCGTGTGTGTGCGTCTGTCTGTCTTGTCTGGTCTGTCAGAAATTCATAGCATCCTGAAGAAGAACTTGGAGAGGTCGGGTCATGGTGGACATGGGTAGAGCATGGGATAAAACCTAAATAGCATCCATGACGCATGGTAAGCCTCGCCCACAGTGGGCGGGGCGTGCGTCGAAAGTTAGCGATGTCACTGAAAAAAAAAGTTATAACTCGGTTCCAGAGCAGTCCCGAGACGAGCAAACAGTCCAGTAAAGTTAACAAAGAGTTGACTGACCAAACAGAGGAGACACACCCGAAATGGGCGGGATGTGTTTCAGATGGGCGGCGCTTCCCGTGACACTACAAAATCACCATAACTTGGCTACGAAGCAGCTCGGAGACTGGAAAAAGTGGAATTAGGTTAGCACTGGGTTGGCACATCAAATGGAGGAGTGACACTCGAAATGGGCGGGCGTACTTGGGATGGGCGGCCAAAAGGTCGGTAACTCGGTCCCCGAAAATGTTTAGGGAGGGCAGAAAAGTCCATGACGAAGAAGAATGTCTTGCAAGAGCCCACCATCTTTGCGGCGTGCTGAGGCCCGCCACAGTGGGCGGGCGTGCGTTTGAGGACGAGGAACAGTATAAAAAGTT